CCTTGTGTCAATGCACTCCAGTGGTTGGTGGACCATCTGCATGGTGGTTGTGGTGTCTAGCTGCTTTTGTAGCAGCCATGGTTATTGTGGTGGCTGTGGTGGGCCACCGATGTGGAGGTGCTGTTTTTGGTATGCTCCTTGGCACTGAAGGTATGCCTGGCTATGGGGTGCGTTTGGTCCCCTTCTCCATGCCTCTGGTCCCTGGGCAGGCCCCAAGGCACTGGCACCATGTGCCTGGTTGTGGGAGGGGTGGCTGGTCCCCTTCTACATACCTTGGGTCACCAGGTGAGACCCAAGGGGCTGGCTTGGTGTGCCTCGTTGTGGGAGAGGGTTCCAGTCCTCTTCTCCATGCCCTGGGTCCCACGGCAGGCCCCGAGGTGCTGGCACAGTGTGCCTGGTTGCAGGAGGGCAGTCTGGTCCCCTTCTCCATGCCCAGAGTCTCTGGGCAAGCTCCAAGGCACTGGCGCCATGTGCCTGGTTGTGGGAGGAGGGTCCAGTCCCCGGCTCCACACCTCAGGCCACTGGGCAGGACCTGAGGCACTGGCTTGGTATGCCTGGTTGTGGGAGAGAGGTCCAGTCCCCTTTTCCATGTCTTGGGTCCCTGGGCAGGCCCTGAGGTGCAGGCGTGGTGTGCCTGGTTGTAGGAGGAGGGTCCGGTTCCTGGCTCCATACCTCAGGTCACTGGGTGGGCCCCAAGGCACTGGCTCAGTGTGCCTGGTTGTGGGAGAGTGGTCTGGTCCCCTTTTCCATGCCCTGGGTCCCTGGGCAGGCCCCAAGGTGCTGGCATGGTGTGCCTGGTTGTGGGAGGATGGTCCAGTCCCCTTCTCCATGCTTCAGGTCCCCAGGCTGGCCCCGAGGCACTGGTACCGTTTGTCTGGAAGTGGGAGTGGAGTCTGGTCCCCAGATCCAAGCCTCCAGTTCCCAGGCAGGCCCCCAAGGTGGTGTGCCTGGGCTGGAACTAATTTTTTGTCCTTTGCTTCTAACAAGGGGAACTTCCTGTGAGAACCAGTACTTGAGCTGTGTGGTTGTTTAAATTGCTACTTTGCTGCTGTTTCCCTAGGGAAGGCTTTTTGTACAGCTCAGGCTTATTGGTTGATCTTATAGGTACTTCTGGCTCTCCAGAGACCTGGTGGATCTGTGTTCTGATAGAGATTCCTGGTAGAATCTCTGGTCTGGGCCTGAGTTTTTTCATCAAACTGCATCTCATGCAATTCTGCATTCCTGACCAGTCTCCTCTGAGTGGTCCTGTGCTCATTGGGGGGCAGGTTGTCTGTCCTTGCTGTGTCCCAGTGTTCTCCCAGTGTTCCCATCTCCCCCACTGCCCACACTCCAAACACTTCCCACGGGACCGGCCCAGTGCCGTCCCTTGCAATGACTCACCAGCCTCTCAGTAGCTCCCTTTTTTCA